TCGTCTTCCGTCGCAGGAAGGACCCGGCCCGGGACAATGGTGAGGACGTCCAAGACCTGGTCGGACAGCCCATGAAGATGGCCGAGGCCGGCAGCGCAGGGAACGGCTCTGCCGTCCCCCAGAGCTTGGGCCAGAGGCTCCGCGGCCTCATCCCGCCCGAGAATGAGAGGAAGAAGCTCTTCCCGCTCGGCCTCATGTTCTTTGTCATATTGTTCAATTATACCATCCTCAGGGATACCAAGGATGTCCTGGTCGTTACTGCTGCCGGCGCTGAGATTATTCCCTTTTTGAAGACCTACTGCAATTTGCCCGGCGCTATCTTGTTCACCGTGGTTTATTCCAAGATGTCCAATTCGTTAAGTCGCGAGCAGCTCTTCTACCTCTGCCTCGCCCCGTTTGTTCTCTTCTTCTTGGCATTTGGGTTTCTCATCTACCCCAACATTGATGTCTTGCATCCGGTCCAGTTCTGCGCCATGTTGGCGAGCAAGCTGCCCGCAGGCTTTGTTGCCCCGATCGCCATTCTCAAGAATTGGACTTTTGCTCTCTTTTATACACTCGCCGAGCTTTGGGGTTCCGTCGTTGTCTCGCTCCTCTTCTGGGGCTTTGCCAATGAGGTCACCACCGTCGATGAGGCCAAAAAGTACTACCCGCTCTTCGGACTAGGCGCCAATGTTGCCCTTATCTTCAGTGGCCAGTACGTCCGCTTTGTCTCCGACATCCGTTCCAAGCTCCCGCCTGGTGTGGATGGATGGGCCATCTCCCTCAAGTATCTCATGTCCATGATCGCCGTTGGAGGAGTCATTATCGCTGCTTGCTACTATTACATGCAGCGCAAGGTCCTCACCGACCCCGCTCTGTTTGAGCCCAGGAAGGCCAAGTCCTCCAAGGTCAAGACCACGCTATCGCTCGGAGAGTCAGCAAAGTATCTCTTCCAGTCCAAGTACATCCGTGATCTCGCCACTTTGGTTATCGCCTATGGTATGAGTATCAACATTGTCGAGGTGACGTGGAAGTCCCGCCTCAGGGCCGCCTACCCGGATCCCAATTCGTACTCTGCCTTCATGGGTAACTTTTCCAGTGCCACGGGAGTCGTCACTTTCATCATGATGCTTGTCGGTCGCTTCATCTTCCGTCGCTTTGGCTGGGGTGCCGCTGCCTATGTCACCCCCGTCGTCCTCGGTATCACCGGTGTCGGCTTCTTCTCACTTATCCTCTTCTCCGAGACCGTCAGCCCCTTCATCATGGCCATGGGAACCACGC